TAATGACAAGTGGAATTCTATACAATATTAACTATGTTACACATGCACATTGTAACTTCTAACCACTGGAATATTTTGCAGCAAAAGCATTGTTTATTTGCACTCACTGTTCAATTCATGTCCAGAAAAACTTGAAAAACTCACCACACAAACATCCACTATTCAAATCCCTCAGTGACAAAGGACATTGGCATGTGGCTTGTTTAATGTAGGTTCATATGGAAGTGGCCTAAATGAATCTTGGGAAAGATATATAAAGCCAGGTTTTTGTGCCTAAAGCGTTTAAACTCTTTCTAGTCTGAAGGTGAGTATTTGTCCCTAGTTGAACTTCCATGGAAAATCTTATTTTCGTGCTTGTGGCCACCATGACCCTACAACTAAAGCATGAACTTTTGACTTTGAAAATCTTCCAAGCACTGCTGTGTAAAGCAGTTTTTCAGGTTGCTCATAAAAATAGAAAATAAATTGTGTAAGGTTGAGCCTATAATTGGGACACAGCTAATATAACCAATTTCTTTCTGCTTCAAGTCGCAGAAATAGTTATTTCCACTGGGGAAATGTCCATTAATCAACATAACGTGTGTCAGCAAAGTTAACTTGCTGTGTGCTGTGTTGTGCCTAATTTTCATTTTGGTCAGAAGTTTGAGTAGTCATAAAATTACAATAAAATCAAAACGGGTCAAATGAGGAAGCCAGAATCATTAAATTGCTTACAAATTAACATCAGAATATTGAGTATGTCAGCCTGTTTAGTTATGCAAAGAATGCAGAAATACAAGAAACTCTGTTGAACATGGGGAAAAATAAATTTGAAGCCTTCAAGTGTAAATCATTTCTCTATCAGTAGAAGAACGATCGTTCATTGCCGACTAAACATCATTTTTTGATTTTTCCAAAGGACAACTTGTTTCTTTTAGCTCATTTTTATGATAAATTGAAGGTCTAGCTTTCCTTGAAGGACTGCCTGGCCTTTTTCATGCCCGAGTTTTGAACTAACATCACTTCTGTTAAAAAAAGAGTGGATTCTTAACCTTTTTGATCAAACCTTCAAAATGACATTATGCTCTATCTCATGTTGTGAGATCTTACATAATGCGTTAGTGCTCAGAGTATACGAGGATGACTATCACCTACTACCACATCAAATTCAGCTCAATGTTTGCAAATCTGAGTTTTTGCTTTTTTTTTGTTTTAGCTTAGATCATTTCGTTGCCATCTTAAATTGGAGTGACTCAAAAAGTTAATTAGTTGTGATCGCTCATGGTATTAATTTCTGAAAGGTTCATCAAAACTTGTCATAAGATATTTTGCTAACATATAGACAGGGTTGACACCAGCCATTAATGCCAAAGTTTTTGGTAATACTATAATATATGCGTACTGCTTGGACTAGTGTTTCATATGATGCTCATCTATGACCATAGCAAATCTAAGCTTAATGTCTGTGAAATGATATGTTTTTCATATATATTGTTAAGTAAAGTGGAAATTTAGATGACGTAATAATCGAATCATTTTAAAAGCTGATCTCCAGAACTTATTTTGGCAAAATTTTCTCAGGAAGTGAGCGAAAACTTTAAAATGTGCACTTTGTGATCGAATTCTCTCCTCAGAATGTCTCCAGTGTTGGGTGAAGCTGGGAGAGAAGCCGATGCTTTGACTAATGGCTGTGAACAGAATGGTTCCAGTTGGCTTTGTCCATCTTAGCGCATCATTTTCATGCTCCTTGTTTTGTTTGGCGAATTCACCATTTAAATGGCTACTGTTGTGTCAGCGCCAGCTGCACGCTCGAGAGGACGTTTTAAAGTGGAACATTTTTCATCTCTTTAGCGGAGAGCGAAGGGCATCGGTTGGGAGTGATTTTCAGCGAGGCCAAAGTCATCTGTAAAAGCGTTACATTCACCAATTCAAGCAAAGCGTTGTGTAGATTGTAACTTATGAGGAGTTCGCTTTCTCTCACTTTTAGGGTTACTGTGTGTATCAAAAGTGTTCATGTGAGTGTTTCATCACAACACACTCAGTTGATCTTTAAAACTTTTAGAATATGAAAAATGTAGCACTGTAAGTGCAAAACAATTTTTGAAATTATTTCTGTGTCAGCAAAAAGTCTTGAACATTGATTACGCTTTAATTAAAACCAACAAAAAAACATTTAATTTCCTTTATGCAGTCTGTTTAAAAGGATGTCTGGCTCACACACTGGATAGCTATCCATTTCTCATTATGTGCAAATACACTCATGTTTCAACATTTCTAACTGAAATGATAGAAAAAGGAAAATAAATAAAAAAAGCGCCTGAGCCAGTGAGGTGAGATAAGAAGGCTTCCATCTAGATCTGACAAAAGACGCCAGCTGAGTGCAGCAACAAAGGCCTGAGAGTCAGTGTTGAGATGAAAGAAAATAATAAATTGAATACAGACACTGTGATGTTTCCAAACTCCTGTGCACACATGAACAAACATGCATGGAAATTCTTTAAAAAAAGTATTAAAACTATTTTTGATTCCAATACTTGACTATAAAACGTGCTCTGAAGGTAATATTTATCATAGTGACAAAACAAAATAAATTAAGAATGCATGATGTTGGATTTTTGTCCGATATCCGATATGTCAAAACTTATTTGGCTGATAACCGATACCAATGCTGATATTTTTTTTTCCTAGACCTACTTACAGAGACTATAGCTATGGAATTAAAATTCTACATTATTCTGCATGAGCTTTGTCAGTTTGGTCTGCTACCAAATGCAGATGCCAAAAAGGGGGCTGAAAATGATTTAACACTTCAACTTGGATTATGTTTAATGTCAAATTTATTCATGACATTTACTCTCTCTAACACAATGACAACACTCAAACAGTGCAAATTTGTACATTTTCACAAATTTAAACAACCTGTTCACAAGTGACAAGTGAAAAGTGCATAAGCACTAGTGCATTAATAGATATACTTGACAGTTTCTTAAATTAAAAATTAACTTAAAAAACAGAAGCCTTTTATATCGGTAAGTTATTTTGATAGAATGGTCAATGTTCGATATTTAACTTTATCGCTAATATCGGCCGATACCGATACATGCTGATAACATCGTGCATCCTTGCTATAAATTCTAAAATGTCTACTTTAAAATAAAAATCCAGCCCTGCTCTGTCATCTGAGTTTAAAAGTGTCAGCTGAAATACCCCGTTTTTCCTCTGTGTGGGTTTTCATTTCAACATTACCTTGCTCTCATTTTCCCAGTGAACAGAGTGGATTAGGGTAGCATCATTCAAACCTGGTCTGCTGAAATCCGTCCATCGGCCTCATCTGTGTGTAATATTTCTGCACTGCTCTCAAGTGACAAAATCAAATAGCTGCATGCATTAATGTTTTAGTGTTGGCAAAGTAACATGTGCAAAAGCATTTCTTCTTTAGACACACAGAGACCATTGTATTGTGGGCTTTGTCTTTAGTGCTGACTTAATTATATTTTGCCTCTGTCTTTTCTTCTTGTCACTCCACTGCAGGTGTGAGCAGCCCATAGTGGGGAGGTTTGTTGCCGGCATGCCACTATCAAAGCAGTTTTACAGGGCTATGGAGCCCACGACAAGCTGGATCCTGGCTTTGTCTTTGATTCTTGCTCTGCAGGTAAAAACTGTTCAGACATAATAACCCTGAGTAGCACTGTTTGAAGGTAGTTTATTTTTTTCTCAATTGATTTCGATGTCCTGTTTTTGGTTTTTGTGATTTTGCATAACTGAATACAAAGATTCACATATGATTTTTTTCTTCTTCAGGAACGTAGATTTTTCTTACTAATTTAAAAAAAGATCAGTTTTTCTTTAGTTAGGGTCCCACGCCAGTAGGGGCAGGGGATGTGGCAGCAAAGCAGTGCAGTGGGGTCCACTGTCCTTGAAAATGGGGAGTGTGGTAAAGAGGTGAAGAAGAGAGTCCAGGCAGGATGAAATGGATGGAGAAAGGTTCCTGTAGTGATTTGTCACAAAAAGGTAGCAGCAAAAGTCAAAAGAAAACCAAAACCTACAAAAGAATAGTATAATGAGTGACACTGACAAAAAATGAGAACAAACTAGAAGTGGCAGAGCTGAAGATGTTGAGGTTCTGCTTGGTAGTTACAAGGATGGATACGATTAGAAATCAGAGGTACAGCACATATTGAACAACTGGGAGATAAAGTTAGAGAGGCCAGACTGAGATGGTTTGAACATGTCCAGAGGAGGGACAGTGGGTATACTGGTAGAAGGATGTTATAAATGCAGCTGCCAGGAAAAAGACAAAGAGGAAGGCCAAAGATGAGATAGATAGATGCAGTTACAGAGGACATGGAGGTAGCTGAAGAGGACACAGAGGACAAATTGTGATGAGGAGGATGACTCACCGTGGCAACCATTAAACATTGAACACTTTAAAGAAGTGGAAATAATATTTTATTGTTGGCAGAATAAGCTGTTCAAATTTTAGGCCCACATGTAAACAGTATATTTTCTATTCATTCATGTATTTAGTACACAAGGTTGATGGGAAGCTGGGGATGAGATTAGCCAAGGTCAACATGCATCAAGTTGTTTGGAGCCCGGTAACAATTGTTTGCAGTTCTAGTTTATTTTATATTTGAATACACGTGAGTCCGTCTATTTAAACAGATTTGTTTTCATAGTTTACATTCACTTCAAATATTTGAGAAACAATAACAACAAAGATTTTTTTTTTTTCTTTTTGACCTTTATTTATTCAAGTAGTCTCAATGAGTCACAATGACTCATTTTCAAGAGAGACCTGTTCCATGCTGTGGAAATGTGCCATTAGAGGATGTAAAATGTGGGTCTGGACTCACTCTTATTTGCATAAGGCTTAAAACTCTACTTTATGCATGTATACTGTAAATAAGTTATTTCACAAAAAATATTATCTATGTTACAATGCAGATCAATACTGCAATCACTGGACCATTGTGACCTAATAAGCACATTATTAAAACCTGTTGCACATTAAGCTGCAGTAGTATGGGGGCAGTGTTGGACCATATCAAAGCTGCGGACACATCTCCATTATATCTCTATGCAGTTATAAGCTTAATTAAATCTTAATATTTAAAAGAATATGTATAGCACAAGCACTAATTATCATAGCCAGCATCACATGAATGAGCTTTAAAATAAGAAATTATTTTGACTTTAGCAGGGCAAAGTTTGCAGCACTAGTTTCATTACAGAAAAAATAATAATAATGAAAGAAGAAAAAGAAAAAAAAAATTACCGGCCATTAAATTTAGGATTTTATAGCTTTTTATTAGAAATTTTACTCTTATTATTATTTTTTTAACCAACTCAACAGTAAAATTTTACATTCAAAATGATCATTTTACCAAAAATGCTGAACTGTCAGAACAGTCTTTTGGAAATGATTCAGATTTTCTAATGTGAACACTTTTCAGTCAGTATTTTAGTCTTGCAACTACTGAAAACATTATTCGTTGGCTGTAACTTTCTGTCACCTTGTTTTATTTTTGTTCCTCAAGAATTGTTTTCTCTTTACTCCGTCATTTTGGAAATCCACTGTCACAAAAAGGACAAAAACAAACACAACCGCCTGAGTCCAAACCACGTAGTGTTTGTTGTTTCATATCGTCTCTCGCCCCAGGGTGCTGCTCGTGCTGCTCCATCAGGCGACAACAAGCTGGTTCGAACCACCAGACTGAGGAGACAAACCCCAGGGGGGGATCATCCGCCCTCTGCTTCGTCCCTCAACCAGACCCTGCAGGAGCAACCTCTGGTCTTTAACCATGTCTACAACATAAATGTACCTTTGGAGTCTCTGTGCTCCGTTGACCTGGACGCCTCTGCCTCTCCAGAATCAGGTTCTGATTAAATCAATGTGATGACAACTCTTGACATATTTTAATTATTAATCTTATTGCAAACCTGCAGGACTGTTGTATAAATATATATATAAATATATATATTTTTTTCTGTTTTGTAGATCCTCATGCCGAGTTGGGATCTAGAGCTTCAGTAGAGGGTCCAGTGGACCCAAATGGACCAACAGAATACACTGAGCAGACAATGGATGCTGAAAGCCAGGTGGATTTTTAAGCAATATATATATATTTTTTTCATTTAGCCTTTATTTATCCAGGTTAGTCTCATTGAGCCACGAGAACTCATTTTCAAGAGAGACCTGTTTAGGGAGCACATGGTGGGGTTAAGGGCCTTGCTCATGGGCCCAGAGTGGGGCAAATGAGGGTATGAGGGAATATTATTAATATAACAAGCACGGTGGCGAAACTGGTAGAGCTGCTGCCTCTCAGCGAGCAGGTCCTTGGTTCAAACCCCGGTCCAGGGGCCTTTCTGGGTGGAGTTTGCATGTTCTCTCCGTGCATGCGTGGGTTTTCTCTGGGTGCTCCAGTTTCCTCCCACAGACCAAAAACATACATGTTAGGCTGATTGGTAACTCTAACAATACAAGATGTGCAAAGGTTTGAGGAGACATGGCTCGACAGTCTTAGTTGCAGTCGATTAAATATGTTTGAATTTCTGAAGTCAAATATGGATGCGGGTGCACATGGTGGTTCAGTTGGTAGACGTGTTGCGTCTCAGCGAGAAGGTCGCCTGACTGAATTCCAGCCGAGGGCCTTTCTGAGAGAGTTTGCATGTTCTTTCCGTGCATTTGTGGGTTTTCTCCGGGTACTCCAGTTTCCTCCCACAGACCAAAAACTTGCATGTTAGACTGATTGGTAACTAAATTGTCCCTATAGGTGTGAGTGAGAGAGTGAATGGTTGTTTGTCTCGGTTGTCTTTATAGTGTCCCTGTGATGGACTGGAGACCTGTCCAGGGTGTACCTAGCCTCTTGCACATTCATGGCTGGACATGAGCACCAGTGACCCCCGTGACCCCATCGATTTGTGTTTCAACTTTGTAAAGACTTACTGTATTTGTAGTGTGTCCCCATCGGTTTTACAAATCCTACATAGCTGGATTAAGTTGTTTGAATATCTGCAACCTTATTATTTTAGCTAACTATTGCACTTTACCTGTAGTGGGAAAACAGTGACAGATCCTTTTTTAATTTCTGCTCAACATCAAGAAGCTGACACAAGATTAGCAAAGTAACTGTTAAACAGAGCATATTGTTCATTGGCCAAAAATACTGTTTGTTCCTTCAGAATATAGTTAGTAGCAAAAACACAGCTAATGAGTTCTTAATTTAAATCCATCAGGCTGCTGTCAACAAGACTAAATGCTTGTTAATTAAGCTCCAAACTTGTTGGATGTATAAATAAGTGCCTTATGAGGTGGTTATCAAAACAATAATCCTATTTTTGTGATAATCCTGTTTGTTATCGCTTCAGGATTAATTATTTAGGATTAACAAAGGCCTGAACAAATTACAATTGAAAACTTCTTTTTTTTTTACTTGAACTCAGCAAATTTAAATTTAAACCCAACTGTTCTTGTTTAGGTAACGTTCACTCATCGTATCAATATCCCCAAAGTAGCTTGTGGTTGTCCAGCAATAAGCAGCATCCAGCAGCTCATCACCAGAGTGGAGATGCTGGAGAGAGAGGTGACCATGCTCAGAGCTCAGTGTGCATCCGGATGCTGCAGCGAGGGCTCTGCCATGGGTGAGTTCTGTTTAACACAGCGTATTAAAAAAAATAAAAATAAAAAAACTGTTATTGCTTATTTTATTCTCTTTTCATCCAGTTTTTTTGTTCCAAATTTTTTTTCGAGCACCGAGTGCTCAGAGACTAAGTATAGATTCACAAGACAAAACCTCTAAAAGCAGATTGTTTTGACATGATGGTAAGAAATGGGGGTTATAAGTAAACCAGGCAGAGAGTAAGAGACAGACAACACCAGATTATTGATTCCAGAGGGCAGCCTGTTTTATTTATTTATTTGCAGCACTATGGAGAAAGGGAGTGAGAAAATCTTTTATAGCTTGGCTATTATTATTATTTTTTATACAAGAGGACTGAAGTGGACAGAGCTACAGAACAGAATATGGTTAAAGTACCTGTTCCAGTGACAAAACCCATTTCAAATATTTTCTGAAACCTTCATCTTTGTTCTGAGAAAAGTTTTTTCTCCAGTAGACATGATCAGAATCAGAAAGAAAAACATGCTCAGTAGATGCAGGTTGCATCTGTACCTGAAGACAAATATTTCTTATGTAAAGGGTGTCGTCTACCCATCCATCAACTTTCTCTTGTTTGGGCAATAACTTCTGATTTGCTCAAGATAATTTCATGAAACTTGATAAACTTATGCATCATCACAGGACAAACTGACTCGTACACCTTCCATCACCCCAGCTCTAAGGTCAAAGTCCCAAATCAAGGTCAAATGTTATGCGAGGTATTTGCTTGTCCAGGCCATTGGTATAGATTGGTATATTGCGTCATAATACTTTGTCGACATGCAGACATATAATGTGTTGTGTGGGATACTCTTGCTTTCACATGGATTGAAATGGTAATGTGCAATGAATTAATTTTGTGGTAGAAATCTTTCTTTCAAATCTTTCCATGGATTTTTATTATTTATTTAAATGTAGTGTTGTCAAGTCATACACATTGTTTCTTCTGTCCCTTGCAGGTCGGTTGGACTTTGTCCCAGGATGCAGCGGTCATGGAAGCTTCAATTTTGATCTGTGTGGTTGCGTCTGCGAGGACGGCTGGACTGGCAAAAACTGCTCGGAGCCCCGCTGCCCGAACGACTGCTCTGGGCAGGGTATGTGTATCGAAGGGGAGTGTGTGTGCGACCGTGACTTTGGAGGAGACAACTGTTCAGAGCCTCGCTGCCCCTCGGACTGCTCAGGTCGTGGGTTGTGTATCGACGGAGAGTGCGTGTGCGAGGAGTCCTTCACAGGCGACGACTGCATGGTTGGAAGATGTCTCAATGACTGCTCGGATCAGGGGTTGTGTGTTAACGGGTCGTGCCACTGTCGGCCTGGCTATGTGGGAGAAGACTGCTCATTGGTGTACTGCGCCAACAACTGCAGCAAGAAGGGGGTCTGCAAGGAGGGTTTCTGTGTCTGCCAGGATGGATTCGCTGGAGATGACTGTAACTCTGGTAAGACGATACGTTCTCAGTTTGATTTGCAAGTAAAAAACATATTTGGACGTGGATGTTTTAATCCAGTTAATTAAAAACTCACACCAGTAAGCTGTCCACTTTTACACTTGGAAGTAGTTTAAGTGCTTGGTTTATAAAACTGTTTTCTTTTGGAGCTAGAGTTGCAGCGTTAATTGCTGGTTCTCAGTACTTGTTGTAATGCTCTGTCTTTCATGTGCAGTCGCTTAAGGGCTGAGGTATACTGGTACACATCTGAGTTCATGCTTCAGATTTAAAATGTGATTAAACCTAAAATGTTTAGGTATAAAAAAAAGTTACTAAACAAACACCAGTGGTTCCGTTTCGTCCTGTCTCACCTACTTGCACATTTGTCACTCTTTCTACTGCATCTATACTGTTTCAAAGATGTTCTTTAAGGTTATGAAGGTAACAGTGTTTGGTGAAGGGCAGTGACTGTGGAAAACAAAAACAGTCAAACACACAAAAAATATTCCATCCATCCATTTTCTCCACCCACTTTTCTGTACAGCTCACCTATGGTTCCTATCTCTGGTGGCCTCTGGGCAAAAGGTGGGATGTACCCTGCACATATTTCATCATGCCTACACTCTAGTCTAGATTATTTAAACAAGAAGAAAATATGAGATATTCATAGGTACAGACGCTAAGTATGGTTAGCTTTTTTATGAAACAAATAGTTGTATGCGTCCATATCAAGGTTTCAAAAACTTTATATTGAAACTTTTGGTGCAGTTTGGTTGTTGATGAGAACAACGGTTTGATATAAACATTGGATTCAAAACAGGACGCAGTTCATTCTGAAACACTGATATAAACATGGCTATCAGAACAACGTGAAATGGCTTTGGCATCATGTATATGATATATGATATTATGATAAAAAAATATATATATATGTTAATATATGCTCTTTAAGTATACTTGCAAGAATGCTATTCTCCTGAAAACTTCATGAATAGATTCAGAGAAGAAATTAGGAAGGAGTACATTACAATAATAGTTTAGCTTACATTTATGCAACAACAACAAAAATGAAAACCTACACATGCAACCTTACTGCCCCTGCACACAAACACACACATCATTAAAATCTATCTTTGAATCATAATACACCAGAAGTCACTGACATTCTGTGCTGGGCTTGTTGCACATTTCTGCTCACCGTATTATTCAGGAGTTACTCTTCTCCACATTGTTAAAGCTCTTTAATCAGTCTTCGTCTTCTTTCGATTGTTTTCTTTCAACTTGTCGCCACAGCGAGTCATCGCCTCCATCTCACTCTGTCCTCTGCATCCTCTGTCCTCAGTCCAACTACCTCCATGTCTTCTCTAAATGCATCCATCTCCTCTTTGTCTTTTTCCTGGCAGCTGCATTTGTAACATTCTTCTACCAATATACCCACAGTCCCTCCTCACCCCTTTAATCAGTATATGTTAAAATATGTCAATAAAAAAAATTCCAATCATGAATTAAAAAGAAAAACGTCTATTATGTAAACCTAAAAAGATAGTCAATGTTTGGCCTTTTCACTTTATGTGATAAAAGACAGTTTTCAGATTATCAATGATTAATTTATTTAAATATTTATTTGGCTGTGTGAATTAAAAGGTTTAAGGGCTAAAGTTTAAGGAACTAGGGCAATGAATATTTTAAAATTATGTATGATGATTACAGCAGGTGAATTATAATAGTACAGTAGTCCCTTGTTTATTGCAGGGGATCCGTACCCTGAAGCCCTGCGATAAGTGAAAAACCGCAAAGTAGGAATAGTAGTACAAGTAGTAAGTAGAAGTTTATTTTAGTATTTATACCTATATGTATATACTTTGTATATATATATATATATATATATATATATATATATATATATATATATATATAGATAGATAGATAGATAGATAGATAGATAGATAGATAGATAGATAGATAGATAGATAGATAGATAGATAGATAGATAGATAGATAGATAGATAGATATTAAGGCATTTTAAACCCTTCTCACACTCTTGCAATATTCTAAACAATGTTTCTAAATGCTCTAAAAGAACACAGAATGTCATGATTTTAGCTCCCTGCCTCAGCTGCTCTTTGCCACATGCAAACGTTCTTGGCCATGCCCACTTCTCCACTCTGCATGGAGAACAGCTGATCAGCTGCAGCAGGAAGCTTATCCTGCAGTGTGGGCAGCACAAAGGTGCAGCAGGTGCTAAATAATTTAAAATAATGTATTTTAAATAAAAATTGCATGCCGATCATGCGGCTCATCCATCATTCAGTCAGTTGTGTGTCATGTCCAATCTTATTTTGAAAAACCGCGATAGAGCAAGTCCACGATAAACGAATCGTGAAGTAGCGAGGGACTACTGTATAATATAATAATAATAATAATAATAATAATAATATTATTAAAGTAATATTATACTATTTTTCACAAAGTAAGAGTCAAAGAATGAAACCAAGTGTCATGTTTCAATGCAAGGTAGATTTCAGTGGTGAGAAAACAACTGGTGGAAAAAAGAAAATCCATTTTGCTTCAGTATTTTTAGTATGCTCATGAGCCTCAAAAATAAACTTGTCTGTGCTTCACATACGATGGGTTAGGGGTGCACGTTCTGGTGGACAGCAGAAAGTCTAACAGGATTCATTTGTCAAAAGTCACATTCATCCGGGGAGCAAACTGTCACATTAGCTGCAGCTGAGACAGTTTAGGAGCTGTGCACGCCTTTGTTCAAAGCCAGCTCTCCATGCCAAAATATCACGTCCTCTTCTGCCATTTGAGGCACCTGTCAACAAAGTGACGGATGGGGACAGACAGAGGAGCGAGCGATAAAAAGTCAGGGACGGAAAATTGGATCACTGGGGCTGATTCTTCCGTTCTGCCCTCCCATTTAATATCTATACCAAGTGAGAGAGATGAATTGCTTATTTCTTTGTAATTAGCTGGTGCTTGCAGGGGGGAGTTTGTTGAATGCAAAACGAGAAGTTCAATTACCAGAGGCATACCGGGTGACAGGCTTAAGTGTTTCATGGTATCACAAACTGAATAAACGGCGTGCATTTTTGCTTCAATTATGGTGGCTTATATTCTCCCACCATGAAAAATAATAGAGACCGCTGAATTTAAATTGGATGTTTCCGTTGTGAGGGGTGAAATAGCATATACTGTACAGCTTTACATAAAAATACAGACATTTCCATTCACAAAGCAGATATTAACTTGTATTGAAGATGAATATTGAGTCTTGTTGCAGAGGTCATTCTCATGATATGCAGTGAGAACGGCATCAGTGACAGTAAACATTTACTTTTCTTATACAGTGTGAATATCAGCCTTGCATCTCTTAAGATACAGTGAGGTGCATATCATGTGCAAAATAACTAGTGCGTGCTGTTAAATCACTCTGATATATTGCTTTTTGAGCGATGTACCATTAATTACATTATTGGCTTTATGAGTCAATGGCATTTATTTTTACATCAGATATTTAGGTTGTAATAATTAGACATAAAACTGCACAATGTAGCTTTGTTTTCTACAATGGTGTTAAAATTCCTCTGTTAAATTATTTTTTTCTATCTATATTTGCAAGAAACACTGTAAAACGTGTTATTTTACAACTACTCATTTATTTTCATCCATTTAAAATCTCATTGTTGAATTTTATGCCAGCAGACAAAAAACAATTATTCAACACAGGGAGCATTTTTCCATGCAGAGCACCAATGACTCTTTACTTTAAACATTTTCTTTTTAACCTTAGCTCAGTGTGAGAGGCTTTGTGACTGTTGTACTCCTTTCTCTGTGCTATGTTTCTGGTGTAATTGTGTGTTTGTCCCTGCACTCATAAACTTTATGCTCAGCTTGCTGTTAATATCTCATATAAAGAAAACAATATCTATTATGCAAAATTTAATTGTGGTACAAAAATACTTTTTACACCCAACACATGAAATGATACTGGCATCCAAGCAGACAAAGAATACACAACATGTATTAAACATTATAAGCTACATTGATTTTCTGCTCTAAAAACTAAATGATGCTCAGCATTCTTGTGTGACAAAGCAAATCCAAGTTTGGACGGTCCATTGCGTTATGCTTTTTATTGTGCAACTGCCAAACAGATTGTTTTACGAAACATTGCAAAAATGACAACAAAATTCTCTTGGATAGCTTTACTTTTAAAAAGTACTTTGTTAGTCTTTCAGCTGGCATTCTTGAAATGCAGATTTTATTTAATCATTTATTTTTTGAATCAGAATAAAAAAAAAAATCATCCAGTCATGTCATGATCATGTCATCTGTCCCCTGCCTCCTTGTGTCATGTTTTCTGCTCAGTCACTCTGCCACACCCCATGTGCACTTTCAGCTCATCAGGCCTTATTCACTGCACCTGTTCCTGGCCTTATTTAAGAACTCCTTTCACCTCTTCAACCTGCCAGATTATCAGACCTTTCATTCATTCAACCTTTATTTATACAGGTTAGTCTCAATGAGCCTTGAGGACTCATTAACAAGAGAGACCAGTTTTTTTTTTGTAAACAAAGAATGATGACAACAGCAGACAAGCATAAAATAAAGCATGTAAACTGAGAAGAATAAATGAAAGAAAATAGAATAAAAAAAAAAATAAAAAAATAAAAAACGGCTAGATTGTAAAGCAATGTAGAATACTAGAATACTAAAAACAGGAACATGTCTGCATTGATTTTTGCCATGAACTTAGCAGTTGTTTGAAACCACAAAGAGAGGTCAAGGTCAAGAGCTTCAGGTTTTTTTGTAAGGTGTTCCAGGATACATGGTTCCTGTTATCCAGCTATGTAGTTCCTTGTTCATTCCTGATGTTCACACCTTGCTTTTTGGATTTTGACCTCACACCTTGTCTTGTGGATTTACCATTCTGCCTGCTCTTCATATGGTTTGGTTCTGCCCAACTGACCCTGGTTTTTGACTACTACTTCTGACTACGGATTCT